ATGACAGAAACAGCAGTTCAGTTTAGAACTCTAAGAATTACACAAAGGCTTTTCCTTAAGACAACCATTATATTTTTTCACTATTCAGAAATACTTTACGTAGACTTCCCATTTTAGTACATAAACTAGTATATTCACTCAGACTGCTTCACTGAGGACTTTAAGTGAAGATGACTTTCACCCTGAGTTCTTTTTGGTGAGGGATACATAAAATAATTACTGAACAGTTGGTGCCCAAAACACCTTTTATACTAAGGTACTGGTTTAATTTGCTATTGCTTTAGGGCCAGCAACACAAATGTGAACATAGTACACAGAAAAAAAGAATGACTTAGTATTTCAAAAATAGTTTTGACTTCATAGGCCCTCTCAAAATGACTCTGGACCCCTTAGAAGAGATTCATGAAATACATTTTGAGAACCATTACAATAGTCGATATATAAATACATCACAATTTATCTAGTCTATTATGTAACAGTTATTGATATTAATATTAAAGGCTATTAAAGTCCACATATCTATCTAGATAGATGAGTCAAAGAGTAGAACAAAGGCTATTAAAGTCTGTATATCCTCTATAGTGAAATGTCTTCATGGCTTTTGCATTTTTGCTAATGAGAAGTTTCCTTTTATACTTGCTGAGTTTAGGAATTTTTTATATTTTCTAGATGTGAGTCATCTGAGGTCTATGTAACTTATAAGTATTGTCTTCCAGAACATGGCTTGTCGTTACCTCCTCATCATGTTGTTTTAAATGTTTGGCTATTATTAATAATACGACTATAAACATTGTGTTCAAGTTTTGTGTGGATATGACTTTTTATCTTGAATATGTACCTGGGAGTGGAATTGTTGGTCGAATAGCAACTCTGTTTAATCATTTGAAGAACTGCCAGACTGTTTTCCAAAATGCTATACCATTTTACGTTTCCACCAGCAATTTATCCATGTCCTCATAATGCTTACCTGAAGTTTTGTTTGTATTCATCCTAATTAATAGGCTATCTTTTACCATTAAGTTTGATGTTGGCTGTGGGTTTTTCATAGATGCTCTATATGAGATTGAGAAAGATCTGTTTTTCCCTAGTGAGTTAACTTTTTTTTAATCATGAAAAAGTTTTAGATTTTGTAAGATAGTTTTCTGTGTCTATTGAAATGATCTTTTTTTAAAAATTTTACGGATGTACTATGTTAATAATACCCAGGTATTAATTCAATTTTACATCACTGGAATAAATTTAATTTAGTTATGGCATATAATTATTTTATTCTCCTGAATTCAGTTTGTTATTGTTTGTGAGGATTTTTGTATTCGTATTTATAAGAGACATTGGTTTATAGTTTTCTTGAGATGTCTTTGGTGTGAAGAGTTGGTATTAATTGTTCACTAAGTGTTTCTTATGACTTGGCAATGGAGCCATCTGTTTGGGCTTTTCTTTTTGGATAGCTTTTGTTTGTTTGTTTGCTTTTTTTTTATTTTTTATTTTTTTAGTTTGCCATAGGGCCTGTGTGCTTGCTGGTAGAGACACAGAGAAAGACATAGAGAGAGGGAAATGAGAAATCGCCTTTTGGGAAGAATGGCCAAGCTACAGTCCCACCTCACCCATTCTCCTCTTGGGATTCTAGGCACACACACATACACACACACACACCTGGTATGTTTTTTAAATTACTAAGTCCAGGACTTGAACTATGTAGTCTGCCATGTGGGATCCAGCTGCCTTAATTACCATGCCACCTACTGGCCTGGCATTGGATTTTTTTTTAATTATACAAGAAATAGTATATAATTTTCAATTAAAAAATATTGTTGACATATAAAAACGTAGTTGTGATTTTATACTCAGTAATTTTATAGAAGTTTTTTACAATCAGAATGATTTATAGTTTTTAAAAATTTTATAGGTACAGACAAATGTTAAATGTGAGTAATTTTATTTTTGTTTCTTCTTTTTCAGACTTTATGCCATTTACTTCTTTTCCTTGTTCTATCCCACTGGCTAATACCCTCGTTAAGATGTAGGATAGAAATGCTGATAGATATTTTTATCTCTCTTTTGATTTCAAGGCCGAACACATATACTGTTCCGTTCAGTCTTGTTGTAGATAATCTTTATCAGATTAAGGAAGTTCTCTTTTACTTCTAATCTGCTAGTATTTTTACTCTTAGATTGTTGCATTTTATGAAACACTTTGCCTACATCTTTTGAGAAGATCATATGACATTTTCCCTAGTACATCAATATAATGCAACACATGAATGGCTTTTAATGTTAACACAAACTTGCATTCTTGAAATGAACTGAACATGGTGATCACACATTTTGCTGTTTATGTATTGCTAAATTCAATTTACTCATTTTTTCATTTTGATTTCCTATTTGACTCTAATTTCTATTTCGATATTCTATTTGACCCACAAGTTACTTAAAAATTATTGCTTCATTTCCAGGCATTTGAAAGTTTTTATTTTTTAAAGTTTATTTGTTTATTCAGAAAGAAAGAGAATCACCCCCAGTCGGGTCTTCATGCCACAATCCCCTCCAGCTGTCATTGACCCAGATCACAAGCACTTGTACACCCGGTGTGCTCAGGAAGGTCCCCGATGTCATCTCAGGACCCCTCCCAGGTGGTTCAGCTTGTACCAGCACTGCACCAACACCGCCTGGCTGGGGATTGTTATTATTTCTTTTCTTTACTTCTAGCTTAATCTCGCTATTTTCAGAAAGTACATCACCTATCATTTCAATTATTTGAAAATATATTTTACACTTGCTTCATGTCCCATCAGGTGGTCAGTTTTAATAATAATTCCACTTGAGTATTTTATGCTTTTATTTTTCCTGCAATCTTTTTATGTTTGATTAGGCCGAGTTTTCTTATTATGTTCTTCACATAGTTTGTCTCTCGACCTTTCTTGGCAGCTCACCTATTACTGAAAATGAGTTAATGAGTCCCTTTATGATTGCACATTTATTTTGTTCTTGTTTTGGTTCTATTATTTTACACGTTTTATATATATCTCTATCTATCTATCTATCTATATATATGTATATATATATTTTTTTTTTGAGAGAGGTTTTCACTATAGGGCGCGTGCGCTCGCCAGACAGACAGAGAGAGACATAGAGACAGAAGGCGAGAAATCACCCCCCAGGGGGGGATGGTCACGCCGCAATCCCTTCTCCTCCATTCTCCTCTCGGGATCTTGGGGGCACACATGCACACGCGCCCGGCGTGAGTTTTAAGCCACTGGGTCCGGGACTTGAACCACGGTCGACTATGTGGGAGTCCAGCAACATAGCCATTATGCTAACTGTTGATCCCCACACGTTATATATTTTGAAGCTGCCTTATTAAGTGTTTCCCCTGTAGAACTTACACTTTTATGAATTTTGTATTTTTCTTGCTTTGGGTTTGTAGGATTTCTCAAGTCTGCACCTTGATGCCTTTTGTTCATTTGGAAAAATTCTGTTTGTCAACTTTTCATGTATTAACCTCTAACCTCCTTCTTTCATTCTTCTTCTGAGACTTTAGTACTAGATATGCAAGACCTTTATTCCACACTATTTTTCTATTTTTTTAAAACATTTTTCATGTTTTGATCTCACTTTTTTCTTTTTTTAAATAACAGAGATCACACATTTGCACATATGCGTGCATGAGAGAAGGACACTTTACAGAGTCTTCTTATGCTATAATTCCCTTTCCTCAGTTGTCCAGTTCCTCAAGGTCATGGGCACCCACGTGTGCAGCGGGCGTGTTTGCAGACTGACTCACATCTGAACCTGCCGTTGGCCACGGCCATGTGGCTTCCATCCAGCCTTGCAGAGCGCGGTGTTACCGCTGCACCACAGCAGCCACACCTTGTCATAGTTCATCTCGTATTTTCACAGGGATATTCTTCAAGCTCAATCATTTGTTGCTTATTGTGCCCATTTTATTAAACTCTTATAGAGTTTTTAATTTTAATTATTTTACAGATTTAAATTTTTTACTGTACTATTTTTCACAGATTATACCTCTTTCAAATATTTCCATACTGCATTTTTTGAACCAAATTACTTGCATAGACCCATGTCTGATAATTCCAGTAGCTAAATACATGTGGGTATGGTATGTTTTTACTGTCTGTTTTATCTATTGGTCTTTTGTATGTGCACAACCAGTAATTTCTGATTGCTTGCAAAACACTTTGTATAATAATTCTGGATTAGAGGGCCCAGCATGTGGCATAGTGGTTAAGGTGCTGGAATCCCACGTGGTCAGCCACAGTTTGAGTCTTGAACCTAGTGGCTTGAAACTCACACTGGGCCCATATGTGTGCATGCCCAAAGTCCCAAGAGGAGAATGGAGGAGAAGGGGTTGCAGCGTGGCATCCACCCAGAGGGTAATTTCTCTCTTTCTGTCTGTCTGTCTGTCTAGCAAGTGCATGCACCCTATAGCAAAAATCTCTAAAAAGGAAAAAAAAATCTAGATTAGAGGCAGATGATGCGATCTTGCCTCCAGGGATCTTTGGAGCAGGGGCATATCGCTGTAATGCAGTTTGAGATCAAGATAATTGGAGGCGGGTTTCAGCCTTGTAGGGCTGGATCTATTTCCAGCCTTTCTTGATCCCTGTGGTACAGGCCTTCCAAAATTTCGTCTTTAAACCTTCCTTCCTGGAATCAGCAAGTGGCATGGTGGCGAAGGGCTGGACTCCCTCTCTCTCGTGGCACATGTGCCCTGAAGAATACTTATAAACAAGCAAACAAATATTTTAAAAATTTAAAAAACCCAAAACCTCCTCCTGCTAGTTTCTCCAAACTGAGCCTGCTGGAAGCAGGCTGTGCACGTGCGGGAAGGACGAGCACAGGCGAAGTCTTTATTCGTGTGATTGTGATGGATTGGACCAACAGATCCTGTAACCCTTACTTCCCCTGGCCTTTGTCAGAACAGAGAAGCTCTTCTCCAAAATGACAACTCTCACTGAGCTGTGGCTTTTTCCTCTGTGCTCTAGGACTTTGTGCCCTGTATAGAGAACTACAGAAGAAGAGGGCAGGAGCTGTATGCGTGTTTATACAAAGATTACGTGCAGGTAAGGAGCCAACTCTTTGTCTCTACAGAGGAGACTGGAATCAACTTTGCACTTGGACTTAAGAACCAGAAGAGTCTTTTGTCTAAATTCTAGAAAGCCTAAGCCCCAAAACAGGTCACCAATGATTCAGTCCTACTTGCGTGGCCTGTGAAATGGACTTGGGACCCACCTTGTCCACAGCCGAGGAGGCAGACTCTGTGTCCCTCCCCTCTGCTCATTCGTCCCTCGGTAAGCAGGTACTGAGCACGCCAGCCCTGCTAGGAGACAGAAACGCAGCTGTGAACAGGCAGTTGTAGATCTCGCTGTCAGAGACTTCACTGTGAAGGAGCGACACCATGAAATAACTTCAAAGTAAGATAACTGTCGTTGTGCTGGGCACTAGAGAGAGACAACAGGTATGGGGTGACTAGGAATATTATTTAGGGGAGATCAGAGGCCTCTGCAGGTGTGAATTGTAAGTTGACATCCTCATCACACTTGTAACCTTTCTGGGGCAGACAATGTTTTTTTTTAAGAGGTTTTTTTGCTATAGGGCGTGTGCACTCACCAGACAGACAGAGAGAGACATAGAGACAGAAAGTGAGAAATCACCCCCTGGGGGGATGGTCACGCCACAATCCCTTCTCCTCTCGGGATCTTGGGCACGCACGCACATGCGCCCGGCGTGAGTTTTAAACCACCGGGTCCGGGACGCGAACCACGGTCAACTATGTGGGAGTCCAGCGACATAGCCATTATGCTAACTGCTGGTTCCCCAGACAATGTTGTTTATTTAAACTTTCGAATCAGCACCTAGTCAAGAGAGTGACCATTTCCGTTCTCATGATTGGAAGAACCTGAAAAATCTGGCTGTGGCTAGGAGAGAGATGCGGTGTGGGACTTCGTGAATTTCTGCTAACATCTGCGAGGCACGGGACCTCAGCAGAGGCCTGGGAGGAGTCAGCCTCCCGGAACGTCGGCCTGGCTCACATACAGTGGGGCTGATGGGTACTCAGAGAGTATTTGGGAAACTTGTGTGGTTTTACTGTTGACTGAGGCATTTTCAAGAAAGTCAGCATCTGAGGCCAAGTCACAGGGGTCCTTTCCAAGTGCTGAAATATTTAAGATAGATTGTTTTGATGTTTAGAAGAGTGCAGGTGGAATCATCCTCTGTGGGAGATGGCTGGCCCTGGAACTTTCACCCCACTTTTTTTTTTTAATTATTTATTTTACATTTATTCACTGAACATCACAGCATACAAAGTGCGATTTCCCATTTTCCATTTCTTGTTTCATATTTCCTCCTATTTCTTACCCTCTGCCATTTCCCACCCTCCTCCCACCCCATCTCTGGTATCTGCAGTTGCAGCCCATTCCTTCCCTCCCCACCACCACATTTTATTGATTCACAAAATATCTTAATTGATCTAACTACTTTCAATAGCAAATTCGGCTGGTATGTACATATCTGTGAACACATGTCTGACTTTAGGCATGAGACTCTGTGAGTAGAATGAATATACTATAAAGTAGCTCCTAGCTGAGGCCATATTGCTTACTATGGTCATTAAATAAGTATTTTTAATATATCTTTTAATTTCAAGAAAGGAAGTTTTAGCTTTAATAAATCAAAATTTTAAAATGTCAAGAGAATGTTAAGAAATGTTAAGACTTGAAGCCAGGAAATAGGTTAGGATTCTGTGCGAATAGTAGGTGTATGGATTGTCCACAGCTCAAGAGAAGACGGAAATCCTTAACTCTGGAAAACAGAGCATAGGAGGTCAGTAACGTTTTAGTCAAAAGCCATAAAATTCTGTTTCAGCAGTTCAGGCTCATGTACTTAATCTGTGGTCGGATCTTTCCATCTAAATTCTGGAAGACAGCGTTCAGCCCCGACTTGCCCCCACCATCAAGCTGGCTGTTTTCTCCATCGTTCCTGAACTCTCACTTCTGCGTGTCTGAGTTTAGCGTTCCCGATACAGCACGCCCTTCAGAACTTCACCTCCCTTTGTTCAGGGACAGTGCACTTTCCTAATGCAGGTCCCACTCCACGTGCAGAAGTCAAGTCCAAACTCTGGACAGAATTCAAGCTTATGAAACCTGCTGGTTTTCAACACAGCTGTGCCCAGCTGCGCCCAGGACGCCCTCCCGCGAGGGTGCCAATGAGGAGACTCAGGCTTCTCTGACTTGGCACTTTACCCACAGCCGAGTGGGCCCAGGAGATGGCAGGGGCCCACAGCATGGCAAGGACAGTGCCTGGCGTCCCGGAGGTTGGCCCAAGCATCAGTATTTCCCATCTCGGGTCAATAGCAAAGCTGCGATTCTTGTACTCGTGCATTGCATCACTCCTCACTCTGGAAGTGCTGGCAGACACACTCCAGCCTTGCTTGGATCCCCCTGCTTTGTCCAAGTTACGTTCCCTCATTCCTCTTCTCTGCGACTCGGCTCTCTCTGTTACACGCCTAGACCTTCCTAGTCTCCTATTGAGTCTTCATCATCATTTACACAAATGCCTCATCATGCTTATACCATTAAAAATGACCGTCTTTACTGGGAGAGGTAGTGGGGGCACATTCCCAATTCTTTTTCAATCTCTTTCCAGATGCCAGCATCAAAAACTCCAGTCAAACTGGTTAGGCAACAAATAAAATGCTTCCTCTTAGAGAAAACTGCAGGGAAGGGCAGGCTTTGAGCAGAGCTAGCTCCAGGTATCCTAGCTCTGCTCCTTCACACATCCTGAGACAAGATGGGGTCCTGCAGAGGATGCAACCATTCTCGCTGTGCACAGAGGGTCGGTCTCCTTGCTCTGCTTCATGCTCACAGGGATGTATCTGACCACAGGGCTCTTCTGGTCCATGCCAAGCTGCTCTGGGGACTGGGGTGGTGGCCCTGAATGTGCACGACTCCAGAGGAGCAGACAGAGCCCCATTCCCAGCCCTGGGGCATGGACTCACCAGCACGCCCTGTACCATTCTGCTGGGTAAAGTGTTCATTCCCGAAGCCAGGGCTCTAGTCAGCCCCTCCAACGCAGCAGAAAGGGCTCTGTCCACAGGAGAATGGAAGGGTGGCTGTTCAGTCCCTAATCACAGCTGCCCCCTTCATAATGGAGCTGCTGAGTCTCAGGGTGTAATATTTGCCCTACTCGTAGCTTGAACCGGAAGAGAACCTCATGGCAGTGCTGGCACGTGGCACCTCAGCGCCTTTGCAGGTGCGGTAACTTGGCGCTTCTGCTCTCGTCCTGAGGCCACATGGAGCTCCCTACCATGGGCTAGCCTCTCTCAGAGGGCTCCCACTGCTGCGGGCTATCTGGTGGCAGACATTTCAGACCTCAGTGTGCCCTGGTGGAAGACAGTCACTGCCTCCAGGGAAGCCTTCCGATGGCAAGAGTGCTCATAATGGAGAACTGGAAGCCCAGGTTGGAAAACCCACCAGCCAGGGGCTGTTCGTCCTCCATGAAATACAATACATTGCTACAAACACAGGGACCGCTGCAGGAAACAGAAATACTCCCTCAAACACGTGCTTATTTTATGCGACCAGATTTCCCTGAAAAACTTCAATCATTATTTTTCTGGAGTTTCTTATTAACTAACTGGAGTACTCCATAAAATGCTGTAACTGTTTTGGATATGAATTTAAGAACTATAGAGAAACAAAATAATCTAATTTGAAAATTGGATTAGCTTATTTATAATAGTAACACCGGTGACTTAAGTCGGGTGGGGCTACATAGCCCACTCTTGGAAATGTCTCCCTGAAGCCTTCCATGTCATAGTTATGGGATACAAATAATGAATCTCACCGAGGAGGAGGCGGAAGCTCCTGCAGAATGAATGCTCGAGGGACCAGAGGGTGATATAATGATTATGTCGCTGGACTCCCGTGTAGTCAACCGTGGTTCGAGTCCCGGACCTGGTGGCTTCAAACTCACGCCAGGCATGTGTATGTGTGCGCCCGCGATCCCAGGAGAATGGATGAGAAGGGATTGCGGTGTGGCCTTCCCCTCTGGGGTGTGAGTTCTCTCTTCCTGTCTCTATTTCTCTGTTTCTTCGGTGAGTGCATGTGCCCCATAGCAAAAATATCTTTAAAAATAAAATAAGAAGAGGAAAATGCTCTGAGTGGCAGAAACGTGATGGTGACCTAGGTTCCCTGGACTCCAAAGACCATGCACCAGGCACTGTAGCCCAGTTGTGTTTTCATGGGGTCCCCCTGACACGGTCTAGAATGATGTACCCGTGCAGAACGGCCCCGATCTGCTGGGCCTAGGCTGATTGGCCACCAGTCTTTGAAGCAATGCAAAGGAGATAAGGCTCCAGCAAAGGAACCTGGCTCAGAGGCTAACAATGACGGCTGGTGCAGTCCAACCGCCCGGCGTGGTCGCCTGTTGGTCTCTGGGGAAGTCTTTCTGCAGCGTCTTCATGGAAGTAGTAGAAAGTATGTACTCGCGGAGCCACTGGAGAGCCGAAGTTAGAGAGACTGGGCCTAACACAAGATCATGAGTTTCAGTTTTGTTTTTATATCCACATTTCTTTTTTAAAATTTTTCTTATTTATATTTATTTATTTGAGATAGATTTTTTGCTTACATTTTTAAAATTTCATTTCCTTTTATACATTCAATCACATTATTTAGCTTACAAAGTAAATATTTCAACATGTGAACATTTCTCCCTAGTCCAGTTGATAAAACTAGAAAATACCTTCAACAGATAATACCACATTTTTTTGTCCCATAAATGCTTTGCCTCCCTGTTTTTCTCCTAAATATCCTTCCTCAGACCCTCCTCTTTCACACACACTATATCCGGTATTTACATCCATTACTGTGTTTCTGTATCCTTTAGTCAATCAGTTTCAGTCATAGAGTATCCACATTTCTTGTCTTGAGTTCTCTCATCTTCCTATTTTCTAAAAGTTGGAAATTAAAATTTAAGGTACTCTGTCAAATATTCAAATAATTGCAAAAGCACACCCTGCAGGCAAACTTGATTCTACCGTCTACACTGTACGAAGAGAGGTAATGGGAGACTCTGTCCGATGTGACCTACCAAAGCAGGACAGGGTGTCAGCATGCTCTTACAAAAGGCCGAGTTGTTTTCTGGTAGATGTTCCGACAAAGCTGCCTATGTATACTGAGAGTTTCAGAAACATTGGGGGGGGGGGATTTTCATTAATATAAAAAGATTTAGCGTCTGTGAACATTCTAGAATCCTTGAAAATTTTAGAATTGTGATATTAGAATTTCAAACCATCCAAGCTAAGCCTCTCTCATTTAATGGCTGGCAATTCTGTGGTCCAGAGCAGGGAATGACTTGCTCGAATGACCAACAGTTGACAGGGCAGCGGATGGAATTCTACGTCCGGTCCTGGTGAGGTGGGAGCTGTGGTATAATTCTCTGTGGGTTTTGAACAGTAGGGGTTGTGGTCAAATTCTGTGTCCATCTTATACGACAGCTGTCTAACCTGTGCTGATGCTTAGCCAGGATGCTAGGACCTATTCTCCCTGCCCAGCACCCAGCAGTCCACGCCGCTGAAGGCTTTCTCCTGGCCTAATCCTGGCTCCAGAGAGTACACCTCACATCCTGGGGGTGCTTGTGGCTTTGTAGAGGGGACACCTGTCTCAAATCATTTTGGGGACCTGATCTCTTCACCCCCAGTGGTTTGGGGCCAGGAGGGTTTGGGAGACTGGCTGCGGGGTGATGCTGTCTTCCTGTTTCCCAGAGGCGGAGCTGTGGCAATGTCAAGGCAGCCAGAGCCTGGGCCAGGATCCAGGAGCAGCTTTTCGGGGAGCTGGGCTTGTGGGGCCAGACAGCAGGAGCCACACCCTGCGCCCAGTGGGAGCTTGACTGGAGAGAAGGGCCTGCTCGCATGAAGAAACGCATCAGACGCTTGACTCTGCCAGAGGCCCTGTGTCCGGGACAGTGCAAGGTAGGAGCGAGGTGCAGCGGACGGTGACAGCTCCAGGCAGGGCGTGGGTAAGGAGGCAGCTTCTTAGCCTTCCCATTACACGTGGCTGTCGTCAGGTAGGAGGGAGGATGTTCATGGGTAAAGGCCAGAGAGTCCCACAATTCATTCTTAATGGAATTTAGCAGGAGGAAGGAGCCACCAGCCCTCCTCCCAGGTACATGGAAGGTCTGCTCCAACACAGCCTGAATGAGCAGATAAGTGAGTGAGCACAGGGCAGCAGACCACGAGTCCCAAGCCACTCTGCAATCCAGAGAAGTCTCGTGAGTCACCGGGTCCCGGTGTGTGGAGGCCAGATGACGGCCTCCGTCTGCCGGCACAGCTCTGTGTTCGTTGTTGAGCAGTGATAACCCACACTGCGACGGGCATTGCTACACAAGCAGACCCTGTAACAAGCGTTACAATGAAAGGCTCTTAAACTCAGCTGTCTCTGCAAGCTCAAGCCTGTGACCCACTGAGTGCTAACAGTATTGGCGTTGCAGTGGCTCCTCAGCGTCAGGACCTGGGCCGTCCCTGGGAGCGTGCGCTAACGAAGCCTGAACTGCATTGTTAGATGTCATTTTTGCCCGTTAGTGGACAGGAAGCCGGTGGGCTCGTTTGGGAGTGCATGCAGAAATATCTGTGGATAGCTTTGCACATCTTCCTTGGATGGTCATGCAAAAATCCTTTAAAAGGCAGCCTTCCCACACTGGGTGTTTCTTTTCTTCTGCTTCATCGCAAGTTAAAATGCTGAATTGAGTCTCTGGTCTGCAATCCTGGCATCTTTCATCCATGCTAAAAATCCTTTATAAAACCTAATGAAAAATTAATTTCGTTCATTCAGTAGATGTTTGTGTTTAAGTTACCGTCAATAAGCATCTGGTGGTATGAGTGTTTCCCTCAGTACATGCCTTAGAAATTGGAGACAGGGAAAGGCAGTGGCCTGCTCACAGCGCTGACGACAAAGTCAAATTCCGGTGCCAAAGCTCGGCCTCTGGGCTCTGGGAATGTCCAGCCCCAGCCCTCTCCCGTGGTCTCTAAGGTGGCCCCCACCCAGACCTCCAGGATGCTGTCTCACCCCCTCTCGGCATCCTCATTGGTAATTACTGTAAGTCCTACTTAATGGAAGACTGTGGGTTTTCTCCCTTGACTCGGGAACATTAATGCTCACAGGGTACTGCAGTCTGCTAGGGTTCGGCACTTCTCTCCTCTTGCAAATGAGTCTCGGGTCATTTGAAGGGCGTGTGTGTGCATCACGTGTGTGTGCGTGTGTGCATGTGTTTGTGTGTCTATCCAAGGGGAGGGGAAACACATGTAGTATCCAGGATTCAATTTCTCTTTTCACTGGTTTTATTTCAGGAGCACTATGACAGAAACGGTGATATTTCTCAAACAAATGCTGAAAACCGAGGTATCAGTTTATACATTTATTGAATTTTTTCTTTAATAATGAAACCAATGATTGGTTCTATTTACTATATTAATTTTCTGAAAATGTACTTCTATAATAATTACTTATTTAATTTTATTTATTATTGTTATTATTCTGTTTGACCAGAGAGAGAGTGAGAGGGAGAGTGAGAAAGCAAGCCACCAAGTCTGGGACTTGAACCGCAGTCAGCCATGTGGGAGCCCAACCAAGCCACCTGCCAGCCCCCTGTTTCATATATTATTAAAGATATCAAATTATTATTTTAGAAAAAGGAAATGTTATAAGGTTAGAGTAGGCTGCACTAAAATGCTTTTTAATATCTTGCTTTCAGAATAAAGAAGAATCTATTCAGACTTAGACACTCTCTGTGAGGAGATGCTTGTATTAAGGTTGAAACATTAAGAATTTGAGGAGGGAACTGTCTCATCAATTTGCTAGACTAGGGAGACCTTCACAGTGTTTCTAAACATCCAAGTACATGTTCAGGGAATGACTGAAAACACGAAGGAGGAAAAATAGCAGAATGTGCTAGAATAAGAGCAGACGAAACAGGCTGTTCGTACTTTATACGCTCAGCTCTCTGCGTACGGCAGTGACAGATGCGACAGCCACTGCTATTTCCCACATCTAAAGAGACTACCTGGAGCACTGTTGATGTTAGTGCTTATTTTTCATTTGTGTAATTCTCAAGGAAGAAGTTGATTGAATTGCTAAAAATTCCAGGTCTGTTTTACGAGGTCATTTTGGTATGAGCAAATCCAGACATAAACACACAAACACACACTCACACACACACTCACCTACACACTCACACCCACGTTCACACACACATGCACACTCTCACTCACACACTCACCTACACACTCACACCCACGTTCACACACTCACACACACTCTCACTCACACACTCACCTACACACTCACACCCACGTTCACACACACATGCACACTCTTACTTCCCATCTCACATTTTCATCAGGTAGAAGCGATCACGCATGCAGTTAAATGTAGGAAGGTCAAATATGTTAAAAATAAATAATTCGTCAAATTCCGAGTGCCTCCTCCGAAGGCTGCCTTCTGGCTGGAGCATGCTCTGTGAGTTCCACTGGGCCTCAGGCTGTGGTGGGGTCACCCTCTCAGCCTGCGTCAGCCTCTCAGTGCGGACCAAGCTCTTCTCATTCCCCTCCTGAGTAGCACCGTTACCTTGAGCTTGCCGCCTTGCCAGTCTGTAGCAAAGCAAGCCCAGGGAGGATCTCAGGGTGCCCTGAGAACAGAGGACCGCTGTGAACAGGACTTGGGGTGACACTGTAATGCCATTTCCTCTCTTCTGTCCACCCAAGTCCTGCAAGGCTAACATTGGAACAGCAGTCCACCTCTTGGGGTGTGGGATGGGGTTGCAAGGAGTGCAGTGGTGGGAAGCGAGCGCTCGGACCGTGGCTGTGGTAGGCTCGTGGCTTTCGGTCGTGAGCAGTGTGCCTCCTCCAGGCAAGTGGATGCTTGGAACACGTGGGTGGAGGAGCAGGGTCCAGAAATCCACACAGTTACGTGTGCTCAGCTTGGCTCTGAGTGTTCCTGCCCAGGAATACACCCGTGAGAAATAAGTCTGGACACGCAAACCCCTGTAGGACAGTGTGTTTGTGGTGCTGCGGGCTCAGGTACCCTCTGCTCTACAGATTAGCAGGTGGCTTAGTTGATTGAAAAGATCCACGTGCCAGAATATTTCACAGCCATTTCAGTTGTTCGAAGAACTTTCAGTGGGATGAGAAGTTGATCATGATGTAATCTTGAATGAAAAAAAGTTGGAGAAGAAAAACTGTAAGCGCAGTATTCTCATCATGTCAAAAATTACACACAGGCCCAGCCTCGGTGGTGTAGGTGGCAAAATCCTACACGGCGATGCTGGAGACCACACGGCTGGCCATGGGTTAGGGTTCCTAGTTGCCATATCAGGTTTGCATGGTGTGCATGCCGATGAGTTGAAGGGCTGGAGAAATGGGATTGCAGTGTGATAAGACCCTATTAAGGGTCTCTCTCTCTCTCTATGTCTCTGTCTCTCTTTCTCTCATGCATATATTCTCTCTCATAAATAAAATAAGCTTTAAAAAATGGCATACTTATGCATGTACATATCTGCACAAAGGAGCTATTAGGAGCAAGCGACGAGATGCCGATTTGGTGAAGCCAGACGGCCTCTAGACTAAGAGACCAGGCTCTGGACTCAGAGGGACTCGGTTCAGAATCTGTCTAATTCCTGGTAGCCATATGATCTTGAGCAAAGTAATTAGCCTTTCTGTTTTCTCATCTGTAAAGGAAGTAGGAAATAGTGTCTGCACTCAGGTAGGACGAGATGCAAACGGCCGTCACGTGTTTCACTTGCTGAGGGGGAGGCGCTATTATTAGCACCGTCTCTGGGCCCATCAGTGACACGTGTTTCCCTTCTCACAATGCATGGCTTTCCCAGTGAGAAGATATTACTTGTATAATTTAAAAGATGAGAGATACTCTTCTAAAAGAATAACATTCTGAAATAGCAGATCCTGGATGAGCCTCTAGAACTGCTTTGCTAGTTAGTGAGGGCGAGCTTGGCCGTGCTGCTCACAGTCACAGAGTTGTTCGAGAGCCAGAGGAGCCAGGACTGGGCATAGCTGGCCCTCCAGGATGAGCCCACATGAAGGTGGGTCTCCACACCACAGGGTCAGTTGGCATCCGTTTTCAGAAGCAGTGGAGAGGAATGCCAAGAGACCCATGCCACTCACTCCTCCCTAAACCTTGCAGATCTTCTCAGGTGCACGTGTGTGCCACCCCTCGTGACGTGTGTGGCTCATGCCAGGCCATGTGTTCCTTTATACCACTGCAGGTGAGCGGATACCGAAGGAAGCTGAAAACGAGCCAGAGGAGGTGGCGGTGGACTGCACCCAGCTGACGTTCTTCCCTGCCCTACATGAGAGCCTGCACTCCGAAGATTTCTTGGAACTGTGTCATGAAAGACAAGTTATTTTACAAGAGCTTCTTGATCATGAAAAGGTAATACATGCTGGGACCTGCTTACATTAATAACTCCCACGTAGTTGTCCATGGTTCAAGTCCTGGACCCAATGGCTTAAACCTCATGCTGGGCATGTGTGCATGTGTGTCCAAGAGCCCAAGAGGAGAATGGAAGAGAATGGATTGTAGCATGGCCATTCACCCAGGGGTGATTTCTCATTTTCTGTCTCTCCAGCAATTACATGTGTCCTATAGCAAAAATCTCTCTCTCTAAAACATAAGAAAGAAAGAAAAGAAAAAGGAAAAGGTAGTACATGCCATGATGGTTATTCTTTGAGACTGTTGGTCAGGCCAGTTCTGTAGCCTCATTATCAAGGAAGCCAGATCCCACATGGCTAAGAGCAATTTGAATCCTGGCCCCAATGGCTTAAAAAAACACACTGGGCAGGACCAGCAGTTAGCGTAATGGCTATGTCGCTGGACTCCCACGTAGTCGACTGCAGTTCATGTCCCGGACCTGGTGGTTTAAAACTCACACTAGGCGCGTGTATGTGCGTGCCCAAGATCCCGAGAGGAGAGTGGAGGAGAAGGGATTGCAGTGTGGCCATCCTCCCGGGGGGTGATTTCTCGCTTTCTGTTTCTCTGTCCCTGTCTGTCTGGCGAGCGCACGCGCCCTATAGCATAAACCTCTAAACAAACAAACAAACAAACAAGCAAACAAAACACACACCAGGCACGTGTGAGTGTGTCCCAAATCCCAACAGGATGGAGAAATGAAAGAAAATGAAGTAGGAGGATCGAGGCATGATTGTGCCCCACTGAGGGATGCTTCCTCTCTCTCCTTTCTCTCTCTCTCTCTCTCTCTCTCTCTCTTAGGTGGAGACTCTGGCAATTAAACAAATAATCAGACAGAGAAGAACCTGCTTTCTTCACACACATGGGGACTGAGATCTCTTTTCACTATAAAAAGTTACGAGGGGCCAGGAGGTGGCATGGAGGTTAAGGTGGCTGAATCTCACATAGCCAGCTCTGCAGTTCGAGTGCCGGATCTGGCATGAAAGTCATGCCAAACACACGTTCATGCCAAAGTCTGGAGAGGAGAACGGAGGAGAAGGGATTTTGGCATGGCCCTCACCCCAGAGGGATGATTTCTCACTTTCCCTTCCTCTCTGTCTCGCTCTGTCTCTCCAGAGAGCATACACGCCATATGACAAAAATCTAAAACAAATCCCAACCAGTCAATGAGTAAAAGGAGCAGTGAGTACATTTGTGGGCTCAGGACAATTCGTGGAATCTTATATCCCCTGTGTGAAATATTTGAAAGCCGGGCCAGTAGGTGGCATAGTAGTGTGCTGGACTCCCGCAGACCAACTGCAGTTCGAGTCCTAGACCCAGCAGCTTCAGAATCACCCTAGGTGCATGTGTGCCCCAAATCCCAAGAGAATGGAGAAGGGATTGCGGTGTGGCCATCCCCCCACCCCTGGGGTGTGTGGGTGTGTGATTTCTCACTTTCCCTCTCTCTCTCCAGTAAGCATGTGCACCCTATGGCAAAAACTCTGTAAAAAGTCATTTGAAAGCTAGCAGATTGTGAGGGGAAATACACTCTCGCTTCCTATCGTGACCTTTGTTGAGCTTGCCACCTTGCCAGTCCGCAGCGCCTGAGTGGCCCACTTCCAGTGGGGAAGTCTTGACCTTCTTGTAGCTCAGCATGACCTTGTTAACAGCCTGACCACCCTGAGGGGCCATCCTCCACCCTGAGGACCCTGGGAGCATGTGTTTGGACACCCCAGTTCTTATCTCTGAGCTGTCCCCACACCTTGGCCCCCCCCGGGTCTCCGCTCAGACCTGAGGTTGAGCACACGTGGGACACCACCCCGCTCTGAAGAGTGGACTTGGAGCCAAAGTATGCAGGCCCAGGAAGCAGGCTGGGGGCCAGGTCTCAGGAAACCCAGGGGTCTCCATGCCTGGCCCTGGGCTGGGGGAGCCCAGATTCTGTGGGCATGTCTTCTTAGTTAAACCCCAGGGTCAGAGGTGGCTCCCCGATGAAGGGGCCCAGAGAAGGGCTACTCTTACCCAAGGCTAAGAATGGCACGGAGGGGGAAGCACATGTCTTAGAGTAAAATGGAGCTGAGTTCAAACCCCAGCTTGGCCAGCTACTAAGTGACATGCCACCTAACTGTGGTAGCCTCTGTTCTCCTATCTCTAATATGAAGCTATGACAGCCATCTCATGCCATTCTGGTGAGGCTGACCTGGGACGATGAAGTAGAGGACAGCTCAGAGCTGGGCTCACACACGGCCGTTACAGACTACGACCCTTCGCTCCCAAGGCTGGGCTCAGAACTCAGACTCTTCTGTGGGGTGTTAGTGAAGGAGATGCCCTAAAGCAGAGGAGCAGGTGGGCTGGCGAGCCCTTGGGGTTATGCAGAGGTGAATGCTGAGGGCTAGTCTGGCCCCAGAGAGGGTGAGCGTGCTGAGTGAGGGACCTGGACTTCTGGGGCAGGTAGTAAGTGCCAAGAGCCTGGGATGGCCTGGGTGGGTCGTGAATGCCCTTTCGGCGGGGAGCTCCTCGCAGGATCTAGATGTTCCCTGGGATCTGCTCTCCGGGGCAGGGCAGCATGGCTGGCTTAAGTTGCACTTGCCACAGGGGCTGCGTAGACATTCAGCGAGTCGCTTAGCTGTGTTGAGATCAGGGTAACAGTTCACATCACAGAGTCCTGAAACACGCCGTCCCTCTCACAGCCGCATAAGCCAGAGCTCCAGCCAGAGAGCTCCTGTGCACCCTCCCACCTGGCCAGAGCGAGTCCACACCCTTCCGTCTCTCGGGTCCCTCTGCCTCACCTGCTCTGTCTCTCCCATTGGGTCTCTGACAACTCTCCTGCGTCCTGTTGTGCTGAGGGGTCAGGGGTGACAGGGGTTCACCAGGTAGCCCAGGGAAAGCTCCCTGTTGGAAGGTCAGCTGATTCAGTATCTTCATGTGCAATCCCTTCAGAGCAGTACCCAGTTCGAGTGTGATGGGACAGTAGCAATGAGGTTCTTGGGGAGACGCCCCTGGAGCACCGCCTACCACATTTGCTATTGCCCAACCCCTTGCCCAACTAACTCAGAACCTCCCAGATGGCCTGAGGCCCTTATGGGCCCAAGGCTGGTCTGCAGGGTCCAGCCCTGAGGACAAAGTCTGGACTTCAGTCAGGGTCAAGAGTGAGCCCAGCCCTGGCCTCTTGAAGATGCCTTTGATACCTGTCCTGTCTCTGAGAGTCTTGTTCTTGCTGAGTGTTCCACCCACTGGCGACGTTTCCCTCGGGTGTCTGGTTGGAATCCCAGAGTCTGATGTCCAAGGGGAACTTGCTTTCCCAGCCCCTGAGGCAGGGCGGAGAAGAAAGAGGTTGTTCTCTCCCCCTCCTGGCTGGTATTTAAGCTTCAGTCTTTCTGGATCTGTCTCTCAGCCGGAAGCTG